TCGAACTTATCTTACCGGCTTGATGTCACCCAGTCACCCTTATGGTTCAGATTATCCATAACGGAAAGCAAAGGGAAGAAGGTGATGAGTCTGATGACACACAGGTGTCGTTGTCATCTATCTAAGACACATTCAGCCATCAATATGCCACTCCTATTCCTATCTACTATATATAATAGTAGAAGGAAGATATACATATATAATCACCATCCTCAAATCTCTCACAAGAGCAAAGAACAGAGCTCACGCAGGCACACACCCACATAGTAAGCATCAAAGCAATGACGACGACGACGACAACTTTCTCTCTTAATCTCTCTCTTCCCCAACCGAATCATCCTCAAAACCTCAATAACAGGTCTAGGTGCTTTTTAGTAGTTGAGTATGCTTAATTTATCTTCTGTTCGTTTATATCTGACTTGTTTTACGATTTGATGATTATTACGTTTAGAAATGCGCGATCATCGTTGTTACCAGCAGCGAATTCCCAGTGTCAGATACGAAGAGGAAGTAGCAGTCGCACCAGGAACAGAACTTCGAACTTCAGGTGTGTCTTGGGACTTTTAGCAAGCAAGTACCTTCTCTGCAAAGTTTGGGTTTTTTTTTTCTTGTTTTGTGATGATCACTAAGAATTTATCCATGGGTGATTGACAGATGGGTGATCACAGTGGGAGAGAATGTGCAATCCACGGCTGTTCCGACATCTGTGCCGGTCAGAGTTGCACACGAGCTTCTTCAAGCTGGACACCGTTATCTGGACGTCAGGTACTATCCTTTCAGATGCAAAGTAGATGAAAAAGCTTGGCAGAATTGGGGATTGATAATTTCAATAAAACTTAGTATTGGGTGTGTTTCAAATCATTTTTTTGGCGGCGGGTATGATTGTGCAGGACACGTGAAGAATTCAGTGCTGGACATGCTGTTGGGGCAATTAATATTCCGTACATGTTCAGGGTTGGATCAGGTAAATATCAATGGCTGATGGCGCAAAATTACCAACTTTTATATCTGTATCTCTGGTGAGAGAACCAGTTTCCTGAGAATCACCATCAAACAAGTGTCTACCATTCAGAAACTTAATCTTTGTATTATAGGTGTCAGGCATTAAATCTGTATTATGTTTGGCTGTAGAGTTGGTGTGATTGTGATCTGTACTCTGTAGAATGAGTGTCAGCCCTAATAATAAAATTGATGCAGAACACATGTTGATGTTGCCTTTGTGACACAGTGATTATGTGTCTTATATGTTTTTCCCTTTTTTTATGCACACCCATTTGCCTCTTCTTGCTGCCTGATGCTTCTTTCACTTACTGAAACAGGGATGACAAAAAACCCCAACTTCTTGGAGGAATTATTGTCACTTTTAGCAAAAGATGATGAAATTATTGTTGTAAGTACCCATAGTAATGTTGTGTTAGCCATATACACATCTTGAGATCACTCACTATTTTTTCACAGATCATCAATGATGTTCTACTTCCTCATTCTACAGGGATGCCAGATTGGGAAAAGGTCATTCATGGCTGCAAGTGATCTTGTGTCTGCTGTAAGTACATCTTAATCTAGTAGAGTAATCACGGGAATGAAGGTTGATGGTGAAATTGTTTAATGGCGATCTTGAACCTGTCATTTATGTTTCTGTGAGGAGAAGGAAGAGTTTTAATGTTGTTTGAGTGAAAAATAAACACAATTAATTTGGTTAATTGGTGGACTTTCTTCATCAACTGGATGGTATATATGATGCTCAAATTCAAAAACTGATTGCTACAAAATCTCTTTTCGATGATCGTTTATCAATCATTGTACTCCTAGAATGCCCTTGGTTAGATGAAGTGTGAAGTTCCGAGGTACTCTGTGACTTTTGATTTGTTGTAATTGCTCATGCCCATGCTGAACATAGCAGTGGTTCAATTGCTTCTTAAAGTTGATGAGCAGCTTAACTTGGGTGCAAGGTTACGCTTTGGCATACCGATAGAGAATCTGAGTACTACCACATAGGACTTCATCTTCCACACCATTCATGATTATGAAATTCTGTTAGCAGTAGTGGTTTGTGAGCCTTGCCGAGACCATGAATGGGTTGTCCAATTCTTTTTTATCCTTATTTTGGTGGTTTTGATTGAGAACCTGCAACCTAGAAACTGAAATGTGATACTCTAGCATGATTTCCTTGAGAAAAAAATGGAGGAGGAGGAAGAAGCTATTCCAGCATGATACTACTTAAAAAGGAAGTTCAAAGTCTATATTTCTTGTTCTCGATAGCATTTCTGTAGTTTTGATGAGAACATGCATATTGGAAAATTAAAACGGACACAGATCTACTTTATTGCCAAGCGACCTAAAATGATTTACATTCATGTAACGGGGTTTTACTTTGGAAGTTTTTCTTGCATCCTATCTGCATTCTATTGAAATTAATCATAACCCTTGATTATACTTGCTGAAATTTTCACTTGTTTTTAGAGAAATACAAATTGATTCTTCAATTGATTTGTGCAGGGTTTCACTGGAATTACTGACATAGCTGGTGGATATGCTGCTTGGACACAGAACGGACTTCCAACAGAGTCATGAAGCCTCCATGAGGGCAGCGGCACATCTGTTGAACATGATTGTGGACCACAACAAGACTTGAGAAGATTATAGACATTTACCTAGAAGTGTAAGCATGGATAATCCAATAAAAAAGTTGTATAGTATCATACAGGCATATTTGGTAGAAAACTTTTAGTTTAAATCCCTTCCATAACAATCTCAAAATGTTAATTTTAGTTGTTTCCTCTATGTAGTTTGTGTTTCTAAGATGTCAGTATGGTACTAGACATCGGTCCTTCAAATTAAAAGTCTTGCATTGTGAATTTATGAAAGCCCACCTTGTATGAATTCGAAAGACTTTTTGAGGGAGATTTCTTTGAGAAGAATGTGATTTCAAGAAAAGAATTTATGCAAATTCAGAATTAATATAAGAGAACCGAATCATATAGATTATTCTTCTTTTTCCTTTTTCTCTAATAATAAGGTAAGCTCGTTGGATCTTCCTTAGAAATAGTGATACATAGAAATTTAGGATACTCAGAAATTTTTGTTCAATTTGAGTGGATGTAACGTATTACAATTTAAACTCTTAAGGGATAGCTCAAGTGATATCTCAAACGTTTTGAATTCAAAATTTAACAACTCTTTAGAGTCAGACTATGAGAGATTTATTCATAAATATCTTAGTTTTGATGTGAATGATCTGTCTTTAACAAACTGAGAAATAAATTAATCAAGGTATATATAAGTTGGTCTGAATACCCCTGACCATAAACCCAAAAAAAAAAAAAAAGTACTACAACTTATTAGCCTCGGATGAATTGGGGTAGCTCATTGAGTTGGCCTAAGGTTTATCACTTTATTGTGATATCTGTTAGGCTTGTTTGAGCTCTTCGCCAAAGCTTTACTGTCCTGATGACAAAAATCATGAGCCAGCCAACACTTTTCATTCATCCCTTGGAAGGGGTAAATAGCTATTACTACAAATAATCAACTTAAACAATCAACTATTATAGCACATAATAATGCATCTATGAAAAAAACCAGGTATAGGTGGAGAGAAAAACACAAAGATACAATTAAGGGTGATAATCGTATTAAGTTGAGTTGTGTTCGTATTGATTATTAGTCAATCTTAACCCAACTCGTTTAATAAATCATATCAGATGTCTTGATACCAACTCAATTTTTTTTTATTATCATGGCATATTTCAAGCTCATTCGTACCATGAATTTAAAAACTAACATTAAGATAATATGAGCTGGTGGATGCCACATATTCTAATAATTACCTTATCATGTTATTTAGTAACCATTTAATTGATTTACCTTACCTATTCATAAGTTTATTTATTTTTATTTTTTGGGGGGAGGTGAGGGGAAAGGGGTTTGAACCCTTGACTTTAAGAAGATAAAGTATTCATAAGACAAAGAATACCATTATCCATTTATAAGTTTATTATTAGATGGTAACACTACTTGTTAATGATGACATGATGCCATTGTCAGACTCAATATTTTCTCCATTGGTAGGCAGTCTCACTTCAGCCTATTTGCCTTCCCATTTCAAGATCGCCTCAAAACTAGCAAGAAGCTGGTGAAATGAGCAACAAACGATTATGTTTATGGGTTAATTTAGTTGAATATGTCAAAGCTAGTGACCATGAATACACAAAGTGTGAAGGTGAAGGACTAGGATATATATATAATATTATAGTTATGAAGTTAAATTCTCAATTTATATACATATAACAATGGTCAAAATTAATCTAATTTTCATCTATTTTGATTCAATAATACAAAATTTATCCCAATTTTTTTTTTGCCCAAAGATATCTTCTTCTGTCCACAATCCCTGGTGCTACACAACTCAATCAACATACTCTCCACTGTTAAATAATATCATCAATCCACACCTATCTCTCACTTCATTTAATTTTAAATTGCATAATTAAAAAAACTAAATTATTATTTAAAATATAAATACTTCAATATCAGTTCAATTTTTAATATTGTATAATATCTTTAGACACAATGTTATTATGAGTATATATTTATTTTTGTTATTGATCATTTGTTCTTGAGAATCAAAATAGATGGGAGGTAAGAGCAACGAGAAAGAAACTGGTTTCAAGCATGCCCGGTAACCCATGTGTGGTATTTGAAACATCTTCCTGCTTATATTACGAATCTTTTACATACACCTCTTAAAGAATTAGCAGGCCTAGTATACTTCGATGTGTGAATTGATTGGAATTCTGATTTTACAAATTCAGAATGAAAAACTGTCATCCCATTCAATCCAATTGGGATACCCTGGCCCTGCCATGTTGCTTGAGAGGAGTAGCATGACGCTCAGAATTGGGTGTTCTAATTCAGTGTTGCGATTATCTTCAATGAACTGGATCTTCAACATATCGTTTAGAGGGGTGTTCTGCAAAGTCTCTCTGAAATGACTAACATCTAGAAATTTTATTTTGGTTCAAAAACCAAGTGAGAATGTGATGATTTACAATAGAACATCTTTATACTACAAGAATGCTGACCAACCTTGGCTGGGATATACTGCCACCATGTACAAATAACCACTGGTGTTGCACGCTGAACTGCAGTAGGTATTATGCACCAAGATGAAGCAAGTTTTCTAATTTGCGGTACGGAAGACAATGAAGAGGGAAAAAAAAACGAGGTGAAATGATTTATCTGGAAAAAGGGTTAAATTACAACTTGGTTAATCATCTAAACAAATTACTGTACACTGCAGTATAATTTGCGAAAGATCGGACATTTTTCTCTTTCATAATTTAACAGCCTCCTCTTCTGAGAGCAGAGAAAAATCCACCAATTGATTTGTGTCGATCCTCTCCTTCAACTCCAACCTGTTTCAAGTTTCGACATATGAAACTAAGGCCTTAACTTGCATGTTTTTCACAGAAAGACACTTGACAGGTAAATGACATACCTCCTTGGCGATTTTTGGCAGGATATCCAGAATTTCGGAGAAATTGGGTCTTAGAGTTGGGTCTTGCTGCCAGCATCTCTGAAGCAGTTCTGCAAGCTTCGGATGCGTGTTCTTAGGAATTGTAGGCCGTAAACCCTGATTGCCATATCAATTATTATTTTCTAAGATCGTAAGAACTACAATGTTGTTTTTCTTACATTATATGAAAAAGAATGAATACCTGTTGGACCACACCAACTGCTGCTTGTAATGGGGTAAAATTGGAGTATGGAATCTGAATGGTACAATATAAAAGATAGTTAGATCAATGAATGCCATTGCAAACTCGCAGACAGCTGATAAAAGCAAATAAATGAATTTTCCAAAGAAAATGCCAAAAAGCTGACTTCTCCCGTTAGAAGCTCCCATAGCACTATTCCAAAGCTGAAAACATCAGCCCTATGATCATATGGTTTGTGTTCAATGATCTGCATTTCAAGTAACTGATTAGTAGAATGTTATTAGGCACACTTCGCTATGGTTAACCATAATAATCAGATGTATCTGTTCTTTGGCATTCCTTCTTGGCATTTATTATTGGTTATTCTACTGTTGCAGCCTTTTTTCCCTGAATGACTCTAGAATGCAGACAATGTAGACATTAACGGATGCATCAAATAAAAGATCAAAAAGTGATGTCCAGAACAAAAGTTTCTCAAAGCTGTACACTGATTTCAGAAACAATATTACCCTTTTTCATTAGGTCATAGAGAAACAATCACCCACAGTCCATGTTCCAATGAAGACTTGAACTCTGCACCTCTAAAGAGTGGCAGGAGGTGGCACTTGATCTAAAAAATGGAGGTTTAAAAATGAGAGAGAATGTACATTAATTCTAATAGTCACTTTGGAGGTTTCACCACGACGTAAAAAAATGTGGCAAACACAGTAAGAGGCGGTCATCCAGCCTCATTGGTGAAGTCTCGGCGTAGTCAGGTTAGCAAAGCATAGATGAAAAAAAGTTCTCCTCCTTCAAAGATGGGGTGAAACATTATGCTGTTTCACAGCAGCAACTACTAAAGCCAAAAGAAGCAAGACGATTCAGACAAATATAAGCATTTGATGGTCAAACTCTCACCACACCTCTAATTAAACCCACAACAAAATAAGCTGAAATGCAAATCAAAATAATGAGACAAATCAATAAGTCAGCAAAAGGAAAATCTAAAGAGTTATCAGAAATTACCAAAACAGAATGGAATGTGTACAAGTGAGAGATTTGAGCAATTCAAAAAACAAGTTGTCCTCAAGTTTTTTAATAGAAAATAAAATTTGGAAATCATCAAGACGTTAGAAATGTCCATATTTTATTAGGTAATGGAAAATCATTCATGGTTGAAACTGTAGTGGAATTCCAAGTGCACATTAGAAGGAGCAGAATTCATGAAGAAAACAATTGAAGAGTACAAAATATCCAATTGAACGAAATAGAGATCAAAATTTGGCACCATTTCGGGCAAATTGGAGTAAAATAACACTAAATCATGAAATGCAGCAATAACTATCTGGAACTCAGCATGTAAAGAGACAATAACCATGCGGACAAAAATCTAATAGCATCTATATCGCAAAAAATAGTTGAGTGGACCGTATGACACAGATGTCTACAGTACATAGGCTTGTAACTAATGTTCAAAAATGTGTACCTCAGGAGCCATCCAACGATATGTTCCAGTTTCTGCAGTCATCACTCCAGTTTGAGCCTGCACTCTGGCGACTCCAAAATCAGCAACCTTAACAACCTGTCAAAGAAAAACATGGATTTTTTTTGACAGATTTGACAAGTGCTACAGATTTAGGACAAAACTGAAGAAACGAAGACAAAAAGGAGATAGATGAAATGTAAGGGAATTCCTCAAAAGAAAGCAAGATGCTGGCCACACATACTCAAATAACAGCATCTTAATTAAATTATATCCAACAACAAGAAGGCGATGAGTTCCAAATTGAAGACAAACCTTCAGGTCTGAAGGGACTGACTTAGTTGATTCAAACTTATTTAGTTTGAATTACTTTTAGGTAAGTACATAAGAATCAACCCCATTTTGGTTTGATAGTAAATACCACATGAGAAATTATCTTTGGTGGTGAAGTAACTTTGGGTCCAAAAACATTTTTTGTGTGACCAAGTTACTACATGTATTATATTTGCCCAAGATTTTTTGAGGAGCCTTTGCAGAACTGAAATTCAGATTTCTTTCTCTGTTTTGGTTTACCATCTTTCTTTTTGAGCTTGATCTTTGTTGGAGATATAACAACCTAGTTTATTAGGGTTTATTTTGTTTTACCTTTTTATCCTTATTGTAAACTTTCATTGACTATATATATGGGGGCTTTACACTTAATTTGTATCCCCTTTTTTTCACTCACATTTATTTCAAGTTGGTATCGGAGCCACAACTCTAACCTTAACCTTAACCCTAGCCCCTCCTCCACGTTACTGCCACCATCCACCGTGACTGCTCCAGATTAACAACAACAGCAACCCACTGCCCAGCGACAAGTACCAGCGAAAAATCCACTGTCGACAAACCCACATACCAGCGAACAAACTGCCTTTAGCCTACTGCCACTGCCGACAAACCTCACTGACAAACCTCACCGACAGCCACATATCCGAGGCTGATCACCATACCAACAGCCACAAACCCAACTAGCATACATACTCACCGAATACCCAAACCCACCAAACATCATCCCAAGGCCACCCATCGAACCCAGCAAACATCATCACCAAACAAAACCACAACAAACACAAATCACCAAAACCGAAACCCAACTCAACTCCACCAGCACCAAAACCGAAACCAAGGCCACCCATCACTGACAACTCCTCACCCATCACACCGACAAATCAACACAAACACCCACTGCCCATCACCGAGTTGACTATGTATTACACATCAACTCCACTGACAGCACCCAAACCAAACCCAAGCCTCCAAACCAAAGCAAACCAAACCAGCCCACTGCCTCGACGAACTCAGACCAGCCCCAAACCCAGCAAACCAACCCACTGTCGGGGTCGCATTCTTTGTCACAACTTCGTTTTTGCCTTCGTGCTTGGCACTCTTTGTTGTAGTGTTGCAGCATCTAGACCTTTTAAGTGGGGTTGAATCTTCTTCTCTGTTGATATGTTCTTGATGCAGTAGACCAATTATTTATATTTATTGGATTTCTGGGCACCGTGACCTGATTATTTGAGAGCTTTCTGGACCTTCTTTATTTGTCGCTACGGTTCGACTTGAAGTATGTTGTTCACCCTTATTTTATCCTTCTATTTATCTTAGAGAAATTTTTTCTGTCACGAGTGCCCAAGTATTGTTATTGTTATGGCTACTACTGAGGGATTTGAGACCTCTACGGTTGAGACCTCTGTTGTTAGTACTTCCACCTGGAATGTACGTCCTGGTTCTCGTCAATGTGATTATTGTGGCCGACCAAGCCATCTCAGGGCTACTTGCTGGAAGCTCTATCCGGAGCTTAAGTCACCTCCTCGCGGCCGTACTGCTGCTATTATTGAGGTACCACCACCAACTGTCGTTGTTCTTGATGTTGCTCCTCCGTGGCAGAGTGATATAGATGTTATTATTTCCCGATTGGATATACTTATGTCTGTCCTGACTTCTCAGGGTCTGACTACTGCTATTGCCACCACTACAGGTATGCCTCATGACTTTCATGCTTCCGCCAGTTCGTCTCCTCTTTGAATGTTAGACTCGGGTGCGAATGGTCATATGATAAGTGAGGCCCATCACTTCACCACTTTTGACAAGCAGTTACATACACAGGTTCAGCTAGCAAATAGGACACATGCCCCTATTGTTAGTAAGGGTACAGTCCGCCTCCAATATGGCTTTACATTACATTCGATTTTTCATGATCCAAAACTGGCCATGAATCTATTATCCGTACATCAGTTAGCCAGAGATTTTTACTATGCGGTTGTGTTTTTATCTGATTCGTGTTATTTGCAGGACCTGAGTACCAAGAGGATTATTATTAGGGGACATGAGAGAGATAGATTATATTATCTAGGCGATACACCTCCATCACCTGCTTTATCTTTATTTGTTCTTAACTTGCATGCTAGTATTTTGCCTAGTACTTGTCGTTATGATTTTTCATCACAAACTATTCAGTTGTGCCATGACCATTTTGGACATACAAATTTTAAATATTTATGTATGTTATTTCCTACTTTGAGCAATGCTTGTGTTGATAGTAAACTTGACTGTGTTATATATTCCCCATCGAAACATGTTCGGACCAGTTATATTCCTCGCATGCACCAGTCACCCAAGCCATTTAACCTAATACACTCTGATATTTGGGGACCCTCTCCTATTACTGCTTTATCAGGTGCTCGATATTATGACATAGATGACCATACCTGCTGTACTTGGGTCTACCTTTTGTATAGGAAGTCTGATGTACTTCCTGTCATCACTTAGTTTCTCCAGATGATTAAAACACAATTCGATGTCATTATTCGTACTCTTCGTTCGGATAATGCCAAAGAATATGTGTCCGATGCTTTAATGTCTCACCTTTCTTTTCAGGGTATTCGTCAACAACTTACTTATCCATATACTCCTGAGTAAACTGGAGTTGCTGAAAGGAAAAATAGGAGTCCAATAGGGATGGTACGTTGTATGCTTAGAGACATGGGAGTACCAAAATCTTATTGACATTTGCTGTTTTGACTTCTACCTTTTTATGTAATCGTACACCAAGTCGTGTTCTTCAGTATAGGGCTCACTTACAAGTCTTATTCCCTTAGCGGACACTTTTTTCGGTCTCCCCTCATGTTTTTGGCTTCACATGTTTTGTTTAGGATTGGTATCCTACTCGCCATAAGCTTGATGATAAAGCAATTTGTTGTGTCTTTGTGGGCTATTGTCATCGGTCTAAAGAGTATCGGTGTTATGATCATATCAGGCGTCGTATGTATCATAGTCTAGATGTTACCTTTCTTGAACACATTTTTTACTTTTCTTCCACTCCTGTGTTTGCCCCTCCAGTTGATGATACTCCCTTTGATTTTCCGTTACCACAGGAGCTAGAGTCATTGGTTACTATCACTACAGAGTCATCAGTCTCTCCTCCACCAGAGCCACTCGTCCCTGTCAGTATAGAGTCACCAGTCTCTCTTCCTTTGCAGGTGTATGTTCGTCACCCTCGCTCTCATACCCCTGCTGACGTCCCCTCTACCTCAAGCGATGCAGGTAATATCTCAGTTAGCTAAGCATATTGATGCACCTGTTGTTAGTACTGATGAGATTGCAGGTACTGAGTCAGTTACTTTCCCCGATGAGACATTGTCAATGGAGGATAATGATTTAGAAGGTTGTTATCTGCAGCATAATCGCCGTCCAGTTATCCGTTATGGTTGGATCGCCATGACTTTATATCCGATCTCTGCTTATATTTCTTATGGTGATCTTTCTCCTACATTTCAAGCTTATAGTATGACCTTATCAGATACGCCGGTTCCTCGCTCTGTTTCAGAGGCTATACGAGAGCCCCAACGGGTTCTTGCCATGCAGATAGAAATGAACGCTCTTCAACGTAATTATACGTAGAATTTTGTCTTTTTACCTTCAGGGATAAAGCCTGTTGGCTGTCGCTAGGCTTACGTCCTAAAATTTTTTGCGGATGATACTATTGATCATCAAAAGACTAGACTTGTGGCGAAGGACTTTACTCAGGTACCAGGTCATGATTTTGGTGCCACCTTTGCCTCATAGCAAAATTGACTACTGTTCGATTGATTATTTCTCTAGCTGCGGAGTACTCTTGGTCTCTTCATCAATTGGATGTGAATAATGTATTTCTTCACGGTGATCTAGATGAGATTATTTATATTGATGCACCACCGGGCTTTCGTAGTGAGGAAGAGTATACTGGAAAGGTATGTCGACTGCGTAAATCTCTTTATGGATTGAAACAGTCACCACGAGCATGGTTCTCTCACTTTAGTGATGTAGTTGTACGTTTAAGGTTCACCAGATGTCATTCTGATCATACATGCTTCATTCAACGGAATACTTCTAGACAGTGTGTCATCTTTTTGGTATATGTTGATGATATTATTATTACTGTAAATGATGTTTCTGGGACTGCGCAAGTCAAGGTAGACCTTGGGAAGGCCTTTGATGTGCAGGACCTTGAATTTTTGTGATACTTTCTTGGAATTGATGTTGCCCGCAGTAACAGGGGTATTATTCTTTCTCAGAGAAAGTATGTTCTGGATCTTCTCTCAGACACTGGGATACTGGGGTGCAAACCGACATCATCATCTATGATTTCAAATCTAAAGCTTATTTTTGAAGGTGAGGAGTTGACAGATCCGACTATCTATCAAAGGTTGACAGGTAGACTTATCTACCTAACCAATACTAGGTCAGATATTTCATTCACTGTTAGCCGAGTTAGTCAGTTCATGCATAAACCATGTCAGTCTCATCTTGATGCAGTTTATCATATTCTTCGGTATCTCAAATCTTGTGCTAAACTTGGGTAGTTCTATGCATCAGGATCTCAGACTGGTTCTCTAGCCTGTTATTCAAATTCAAATTATGGGGGAGCGTGTGATGGTCGATCTACTACGGGCTTCTGTGCTTTTTGAGGGACTCATCTTATCTCTAGAAAGAGCAAAAAACAGTCAGTTGTCTCTCGTTTGTCAGCAAAGGCAAAGTATCGGGCACTGACACTTGGCACTTGGCATATGTGAGATTATCTGGCTACGATCGATTCTTGGCGAGTTAGGATTTCCAGTTACTTCTTTATCTACATTATATTGTGATAATCAATCTGTTATTCAACTCGATTCTGACTCTGTATTACACGAGAGGACGAAACATATAGAGATCGATATTCACTTCCTTCGGAAGAAGGTTAGCAGTGGTATTGTCACTCCATCGTTTGTGGGAACCAGTGATCAGGTTGCTGATATTTTCACCAAACCTGTCACTCTATCCATTCTTTGGGAGTCCATTTTCAAGCTTGACTTAGTTGACATTTTTGCACCTCGCTAGAGGGGGAGTGTTGGAGATATAACAACCTAGTTTATTAGGGTTTATTTTATTTTACCTTTTTATTCTTATTATAAACTTTCATTGGCTATATATACGGGGGCTCTACACTTAATTTGTATCCCTTTTTTTCACTTACATTTATTTCAAGTATCTTGTGGTCCATAGCTCGTGAATTTCAGCCTTGTTGCCGGAAGTGCAGATTTTTCTGCAAGTTATTGGCCTAGTTCCAAGTTCAATTCCTTCTTTTGTGGAATGTGGGTCCACCTTAAATTGTAGCCATTGGATTCATACTCGGGCTGCATCATAAGGGCAACCATTGGCCACTATACATCAGGCCTTTGCTTAACAACAACGACAATAAAAATAAATATGAATGCATGTTATCACCTCAGATTGTATGCTCGGATTAGCATGCCAAATGCTCAAGTAATCAATTAAAACTCCTATTTCCATAACAAATGACTCATAGATGATTCTTCTCTTAACTTACTGGAGTTTTTCATTGTTCTACAGTTATACGAAATTACACGCTGTAACAACCAAGCATAGAATACCTCTTTCTAGTCAATTCTTCAATACCAACTCCAAGGAATCGAAGTAAACTTTTGTTGAAGGGCTTTTTGCATGAATAAATCAAATTGTTGAGTTTACTTGTCTGCTGAAGCCTACATAGCCTATTGACCAGATGATCTCTTACTCTAAAACATTGACACAAGGACCACTGAGTGACAATGTCGAGCTAACAACTGCGAGATTGTGCTTTCAAAGATGAGAGTAGATACCGATAGGCCTTTAGTCTAATGGTACTCCTTGTCTTGTGAAGGCTTTACCTTGAGGTTTCAAGTCCCCCTCCCCCCAAAAAAAAAAAAGAAGAAGATGAGAGTAGACACTTTGCATAACCAATAAATACCAAAGGCCAGGTCTGTACCTCCTCCACTTGAAAACAAATGGCACTGGCAGAGGAGTCAAAGGCCAGGTAATGCATATTCAAGCACCACTTACGGTTAGCTCATTTCTATATATAAGAAGATACAATGGAGAAACAACCAACCATCTCTCTCCACCTCTCCAGGTGTTAGGGTCCCTCCCCCTCTTTCAAAGATAAACAGAATGTTTGGAAAGCAATCAAAATAACCTAAAACATATAAGAGGCAAAAATCTCCAATCCATACAGATTAGGTCATATCTAGAATCAGTGCTCACAAAAATCGAATAACTAATAGAGTAGAATAGTGCAAAGGGAAAAAGCAAGACCACAAACAATAAGAAGGATAATTCTGGGAATACCAACGAAGGTTAATAAACACATGAAAGTTTCATTCATAAGAAACACACAACATGACAAAAAAATAAAATTACAAGATATGATTAAGTTATAATCGGGAGTTCATTAGAGAGAACAACAAAGAAGAAGCTAATCCATAGTAGGTGGTGTTAAACTAATATACACATAATCATAGAAGTGACGAGAAGTTGTACCACATAAGTCACAGGTTTACAAAAGCTTCTTACTTCATTTTCGTCCATCAGAAGATTGGCAGTCTTCAGGTCCCTGTGGATAATATTGTTTTGGTGCAAATAGTTCATTCCCTTGGAAACATCAATTGCTACTTTGAGCAGAGTAGGAAGCGTAAAGACACCTCTTTCTTTGTGCAGAAAGTTGTACACACTTCCTTTAGACATGAACTCTGTTAAAACAGAAACATGACCATCAAAAAGCAATGCTCTCTGTTTATATACAGCATGTAATAGACTTGTCACAGGGTTACAGTATATAAATACATAGTAGCTAACACATGAACAATCACTGCATATGGCCAAATCTCAAATCTAGAAACCCTGAATGAAGTATTTTCCCTTCCAATAATACAGTAACAGAGCCATATAAAGGCGAAGAATATCAGCTGAAGACAACTAAAAATCAGATACTCAGGAAGTAGCAAAAACAAGATAATACGTGGTAGTATGGTACAATAAACATTAAATTTGAATTGAATTACCAGTTACAATGCATAGGGTCGGAGGTTGTGTGCATGCACCAATGAATTGAACAACATTTTTGTGCCGGACTTTTCTGAAAAATCAAAATCAAACAAGGACTGAAATATGGAAACAAAAGGACAATTAATAGGAGAATTCCGACTAGAGTTATGTTATAATACAACTCAACTCCACAAAACCTTAACCCCAACTATTTGAGGTTGGCTAGTTATGTTAGAATGTAATCTTAATTAAAAAAAATGCATGAGTTTGTGATACATATAACAAGAATGCAATAGACAGCACTAAAAAAATAGTTATAATGCTGAATTGACACCGGAGAAAGAAAATCAAAAGTTTCCAAGGGCCAAAGTCCTTTGGAAGTAAACAGCAAACAAAATTCCAATGTGCAGTCTACAATGAAACTGATACGAAGATAAATACTATTGTTATAAAATTCAAAGTTGAGCTTTTTTCCCATTAGCATAATGATCATCAACCCAAAGAAAAAGTATCTTATCTGCTCATAGCATGAATCCCCCATTAGGAACTTAAATATGTTTATGGGTAGTCAGCTTACTAGGAAGTGCCACTTCAGCTTGCCCCCGACAAACCGTTCTATATGAAATTGATAAAGATAATTGACAATGTGCAACAAAGACTTACTAATAGCACACCTCGCCAGGACAATGAAAATTAAGGAAAGCAAGTAGCTTTGTGCAATCATTGAGAAGATCCATTCGAAGAATTTTAAACCCGACTACATATCTAAGGCTTGTCACTTAGGCTTAAAAGTGCATTCCTCTCAATTTCAGATATGAAACACTGAACTGATATTAGTTTGGAAGAAGAAACAACATTTACAAAACCAAAAAGTTCTGGAATGGCCAACTAACACCATCATACAGCTATCACAGCTATGAGCATGTAATCTAACAGACCTCATGATAAAGACTTCCTGTGAAAACTCTTTCAGCATATCAAAATTGACTCTCTCCGGCTTGAGGACTTTTATAGCCACTTCCTGACTACAATATGTGCCTTTAAACCTGAAGGAGACCAATTGATAGGATGAGAACCCAAACACAACCAGGAAAAGGTGTCAGAGTTATGGAACATACAGATCACCAAATGACCCAGATGCAACTTTGTTATGAAATTTCAGCAGGCTGGCATTGATTTCCCAGACATCAATTCCATCAGTAGGTATTTTTACTTTATCAGGAAAGGATTCAGACCCTTTTTGGACATGCTCAGTGATAGTAGATAACGAATGTTGTTTTGGAGAAGACTGCCCCTGCAGAAAGTTAGAACCATCATAAACAGATAGACATGCCTGTAGTCCACTGTTAAACAGAAGAGAGGAAAGCACTACAAATCCCAAGATACAACGGTAATATGAGTAGTTTCTATTGAGAATCCGTATGTGTAAAATGTTTGAGTTATATTAAATACATAATATGCATGCATATCTTTTATTTTACGTTGTAAATAATCTGGTGTGTAGAGTTCGGTTTATACACACAAAAGATCAAATTATCAGATCCTTGTATGATATAAGTAAAGATTCACAGTCTTAGATGAAATTGGACACACCACCAATATGGTTATAGTGCAATCCTCTGACATAGTCTGTCTTGACTATAGGAGACTATCTGATGTCTTGAATTGTTGCACTAGTACACTTTGTGTATTGCACATGACTGTTATTGAGATTATTATCTTTTTCCTGAATAAATAAGAAAATAAATACCTCATAGTTATTATGATTGCTTAAGTTTTTAATCTTGAGATATTTAATAGACATGTGCATATAATGATTGTTACTTTAATTCATTAAAGAATGAGATTCATTTGAGTCAATAAACTTGGTGAATTAGGATATGACATTATTTGTGGTGAAAATTAATTATTAAAGGAAACCACATCCCGGAATTTAAATGAGTTCATGATGTCCTCTAAAGAAAAATCATAAATTTTGTCCATGTCAAACCCTATAGGTGGATTTAATTATCTAGCATGACAAATATGTTGAGTGGTAAGATCTTAAGGATAAAAAAAAAAATTAATTAAATATAATTGTCAGTAATTTAATTAATTGATAAACTAGAGAGATTATTAAACATATAATAACAAGAAATTCGATATATAATTTTAAGATAAGGCCTGGGTGATCAATAATAAGTTTCTAGTAGACTAATTTATTATTAATGGACTGTCTTATTATTAATAGATTGTAGGATGTTTGTTCTAGATTGGACATTGGATTTCCAAGCCCATTGAAAGCTCGGCCCAGACTATAAATAAACGCATTCTTTGTTTCTCTTAGCCATAGACTTTACCTTCACATTTAGAAGAGGTAGAGAAAGAGAGAGGGCAAGAGAGAAAATTCGAAAGATTCCAGCCCAAGCTGCATTCGGACTTTGGTGTGGAAGGATATACGGTAAAAGATTATAAGGTGTATCAAGCCTACTGTTCAATTTGTATCTATCTTTGTTCGTGTAGATCTATTCGTCAAAGGTATCCTAATTTCGCATTATAGGGTTAATAGACGAGTAAATTTTTTATAATCAATTATATGCGTCAACGGATCTTGAGACTGCGTTCCAACACTCTATGGCCAAAATCTACTTTGAGAAATTTGCTCATGTCATGGCTGACAGGCTGAGGCATCAAGAACAGTTGACTTGTTTCAAGGCATGGGATGTGATTAGAGTTATCCAAAAACATGTTATGACAAAAACATGTAGAATATGGATCATTTGCGACTTCAACTTGTTATGCAAGGCAAAACTTCAAGATGACTTCCAACTTGCTTCAACTAAGTATCAAGGAAGATGTATCCTTCAAGAGACTGAAAATCTCAAGCAATCAAAATAAATTCAAATTTTCAAAATACTTGGCAAATGCAACTAGAAGAATTGGTCAACTGCCAAATTTTGGATTGAAATTCCAAACCATGTTAACGTATACTTGGGGACATGTATGTTAAGTCAAAATAATCGACTGAGACATCTTTGTCAACCACAAGTCAGGTGAGATTTGTGATGTAAACAGAATGTGTATCGTTCTTGAATGGAAAGTGCCAAAGTCAGATACAACTCCGAGTATATCTTACTCAGCTGATTCTTTTACCACTGGTAGTTGGAACTTTGAAGTATGAGCAGGTTTTATCTTTTGGATATTGAAAACAGAATATATCTGCTTGAATACTAAAGTGGTTCAATTGCAGAAAATTGAAGAAAAGCAAGCAAATTATGGGTTTTTGGTGTTAATTTAGTGGCCAAAGATATTGTAGAAACTTGGGACCGAAAGGAATGGACTTTGAAAGAAAAGTGTAAAAAGTGAAGCAACAGTGGTTTAAACACCTGTCTGCCGGAGTGGCAGGTAGTACTCTGCTGAGCTAGAACTCATTGATTCCAGTCCAGGCTGGATGGCAGTTGCCAATGCTGGACAGCAGCTGGTGGCTGCCAGACAGCTCTCATGACCAGGCATCTGTTCTAATCCCGAAATGACACTCTCAATTTCTACAAACTCTAAATTTGGATGGTGGAAGTGTAGCTTTTCGCAAAGAAAGTCATTTATGGTTGGGAGGGGTGGTTTACTGGTTTTAGCAGTCGGATTGCAAGTATTAACTGGAAAAAAAGAAAACGAGAAGGAAGAATAAGAATCGAGGAATTCCACTACAACTGCCTTGGTTGCTTAAACCGTCAAAAAAGCTTTAAATGCTCAGAAAATTCTCAAAACGTAAAGACTGCAAAAAAAACCAAAATTACATAGTTTGATCAAAAATATGATCCATAGACTACGCATGTGACCCATGTCCGACATGTATTTAGTGCTCTCAACTCAGCCTCCATATTGGAGCATTCACCATGGTAAAAAGAACCTGCAAGACCAGATTCCCCCACTGATTCCTTACCACTGCACCCACCCCCAGCTCTGCCTAGATTCCCCTGAGCTGCCCCATCCACTTCAACAACCCCTCAGCTGGAGGACACCAGTTAACCCATAAACTCTTCACCCGCACTGTGCATCTAGTTGCATTGTTTAGTTTATTTAGAGATAAAGAGGCAAAGCATCTACTTTTCATACTGGTGTTTCTTTTCTGCATTTCTTTTGTGAGACTAAAAACTCTAAGTATTCTCACGTTTACATTGCTTAGAATCTGCCAAATCTTCAAGGAACTAGTTAACATAAATAAAATAAGCAAGCAAATACTAGCTCAAAACATAAACTATCACTCAACTCTATCCTAAATGTGGCTCAAAGTTCTGAATTATACTACATGCAAATTCGTAGAGCTCCCCTTTTTCTGTTTGTGCTCCACATAATCAGCAATTTCATATGTGACACACTATTCTACCTCACGGAATCTACAAACCCATGTTTACTATTTTGTGACAATCACCAAGAATGATTACTTTAATGAGGTTCAAATCACACAGAGCTTGTAATATATTTTCCATTAGAGAATATAACACAATAATTCATAAACCCCAACAGGGCTTTCTAGACTCTGGCAACCCACAAAATAAGTTGTAGTAGTTAGGTATAAATTTCTTCATTCCTTAACATGAGACAAGAAGTCCGGCAAGACACGGAAGCAGCTTGAACACATAGAGGATATCTACATAATAGTAACTATGGTCATAACGCACCATAAACCAAGATTTAATCCCATTAACTGCCCCTTCCCAACTAACCATTATTCAAGGAAACTGCCAGTAGTGGTAACCAGGTCTTAACATCGTCATTGTGACTGTAACAAAAAAGGGAAATAAATAATAACATATTTTACATGGAAGTTTAAAAGCAGCTGAACAAAAACATGGTGTATTCTACCATAATCAGATTTATGTTGCATCAACAAAAGCATTTAGACAATGTCCAACTGAGTCTACATAGGAAGATAGCATAAGAAATCACTCTTTACACACTTGAGCAATGTGTGGAGAACAACTACCTTAGCCTTTAAGATTTCCTTCTCCAGTGCATTTCTAAGCAGCTCAATTTCCTAGAATTTCCAATAAGCAACCATTATACAGCAGTGTAAAAGAGAGGAGGAAACAAAAAAGTAAAATTGAGTGACCTGTATATCATTTAAAAGAAAACTTATGAATGCATCAAAACTAAGATGTTTCAAAGTTATCAGTAGGCTCTCACAGAAAGTGAAATTATTTGAAACATATCACAACATAGTTAAAAAGTTTTATTACTTCAAGACATCAAAACAAAAATAAAGTACATGTTAGTAGTATTGCATTCATGCAAATTTGTAACATATGCACAAGACTTCCAACTCCCAACCAAGTGACCCCAGAAATATTAAGTTTTTAACATTTTCAATAACAAATAATTCCAAGTATCCAACAACAAGCAAGGAACAAATGCTTGTCCACAGAAATGTTTCTATGCATTCCAAACTCATTATTATCACAGCAAACATAGGTATATAACATCCGAAATCCACCACCCATCAAAAAATAATACCAAATTTCTCCATCTGCAGGTGAAGTGTAATTTTCAAGATTTTCTTCAAAATAAGTAATGAAAATGCTGGTGTTTATACATGAGGGCAATGCTCCAGAACAACTATCTTGATCCTGAAGCATAAGGGAGAAAACCTAAACATAAGGAAAATAATGTGACATTCAAAAATTTATGGTGCTTTTTTCTTTTTCTGTGAATTGACTGTACAATGGCTATAGAACGAATTACACTCCAAAAAAGAACAAAAAAATCCACCAAACAGAAACATAATTGGTTGACCTAATGAAAAAAGAAGTTACTCAGAACAAGAAGACAGTCCACAGTTTGTAATACAGGAAGTAATCAAAATCAGAACTGTAGCAAGGAACTGATGCCACAAACTAATGACACTATATATTTTACCTGATGATAGATGAGCATTTCAGTTGTCAAAAAGATCATAAGAACATACCTCATTTGCCCAGCCATCAACAACAAAGACATCCAAGGAGAAGCCATCAGCAGTGGAAAAAGCATGGGCTTCTTGAATGTTCAGCCCAATCTCAGAAAGCAAGGAAGTCAACTGAAAAATTAAATTGCAGGAGAATCACACTACTGATTGGAAAGAAATAGCATACAATAGAGGATATATTCCTTATTTCATAGCCCCATCAAGACACTTTACATGCACAATTTTGCAAACAGCAAGATTAGTTATATGGCCTATGTTCAATATTACAACTCTAGAAAGTAATGAGCGTTTCAACTATTCAAGTATCAAAATAGAGAAGCACGAAAGTATCACATAACTGTTCAATCTTACAGTATATGCAGTCTATATTACACTTGCCAACTCATTGTTTTGGATCAATTTCAGCAGAATTAGTTTCAGTCTGTCAGGGCCAAAAATATCAGTCAGCTCCAGATCCGTCAATCCCAGAAATCCCAATTACTGAATATTAAGTTTTTCAAAGAAAAATTAAAGAGAACTCAGATTTCAGAAACAGAATACAATGAACACAGTTCCATAACCAGTAACATAGTGGTTACAAGTTAAGAAAATGATTCAGACTAAAAATAATGCTTCAGCTCTCAGTGTATGCACCCAATTAGATCGTTAAACAAGAAGTGATGGATGGGTGAGAGGGACAGAAATGCTGGAATTTGGAAAGTTAAAATAATTGAGATACCTGGGATTTAATATTTGAGCTACAATTAGAGCTTTTTAGCCAAACTAATACCATAAAAAATTCAATTCTCTGCATCCCAAAAGTCCCCCTAAAGAATTATTCCCAATACCTATAGTGCATCCTGTTGGAGTTATAACAGCCTAATTTATTAGGCCTAGTTTATTAGGGTTATTTTTCTCTTTTTACCCTTATTATGACTTTTATATTTTGCCTAGACTATAAGAATGTTTAGGTCACTTTGTAATATTATTTGACTATATATACGGGACTTTACTCTTAGTTTGAATATCCCTTTCACTCACATATATCTCTTGTTGGTATCAGAGCCACTAACCCTAACCCTAACCCTAGCCTCTGCCAATCGTCATAACCAAACAGACCCAGCCGCTGTCTCTCGTCCACATTGCAACAGTAATCAGCCACCAATCACCACACTGCCCAGTAGCACCAACAGCCTCAAACAGCTTCCCAGCAAGCATACCACTCCACCCAGCAACCGCAGCAGCTTAGCAACCTCAATCCCAGTCGACACAGCAACTAAGCCAAGCGGCCATCACTCAAACAACAATCAAACCAACCGACTGAACCCACTGCCTAAACAACATACTTCAGTGAACCCACCGACTGCCCAGACCACACCGACAGCCAGCATTACCCATCTTTCTCTTCACCGACAACACAGCTAACCAGCCATAACCGACAGTACAGTGCAATCATAACCAACAGCATAACCCACCGACTTCACCAAACAAACCCATTAACATATACCATTCCAGCGACCAGACACATATATCAACATATACCAAGTTTGCCATCAACAAACCAGCAAAACCGAACAAAATAAGTAAAAGACAAAAACTTAGAACACAAAAGACAAAATCAGCAAAACCCATTACAATCCAGCGAACACAGTACCCATTACCCATTACAGCTTCATGTTTTTTGCCTTCATACGCCTGATTATTTGGGACCGTAGGACATTTTAAGAGGGATTGAATTCTCTTCTCCTTTGATTTGCTCTTGATGCAGTAGATCATTTATTTATATTTATTTGGATTTTTGGGCATCATGAACTGATTATTTGAGAGCTTTTCTGGACTTTCTTTATTTGTCGCTACTGTTCGACTGAAGGTATATTGTTCTCCCTTATTTTATCCCTCTATTTATCTTAAAGTTAGGTTTTTTTCTATCACGGGTGTCCACGTATTATTATTGATATGGCTATTATTGTTGAGACCTCTGCTATTAGTCCTTCCACCTAGAATGTACCTCCTGGTTCTCATCAGTGTGATTATTGTGGCCAACCAGGACATCTCAGGACTACTTCCTGGAAGCTCTATCCAGAGCTTAAGTCACCTCTCACCTGGAATGTACCTCCTAGTTCTCGTCAGTGTGATTATTGTGACTGACCAGGCCATCTCAGGGCTACTTGCTGAAAGCTTTATCCAGAGCTTAAGCCGCTGCTTCACAGCCGTACTGCTGCTATTGTTGAGGTACCACCACCTACTACTGTTGTTCCTGCTGCTGCTCCTCCTTGGTAAAGTGATATGGATGCTATCATTTCCCGATTGGATATACTTATGTCCGTCCTGACTTCTCAGGGTTCGACTACTGCTACTGCTATTGTCACTGCTACTGCTACTGCTACTGCCACTGCCACTGCCACTGCCACTGCCACCACTACAGGTATACCTCGTGTCTTTCATACTTGCGCCAGTTCATCCCTCCTTTGGATGTTAGACTTGGGTGCGAATGGTCATATGACAGGTGAGACCCATCACTTCACCACTTTTGACGAACAATTACATACACAGGTGCAGCTAGCAGATAGGACACATGCCCCTATTGTTAGTAGGGATACAGTCCGCCTCCTAGATAACTTTACATTACATTCAATTTTTCATGCGCCAAAATTGGCCATGAATCTATTATCCGTACATCAGTTAGCCAGAGATATTCACTGTGCGGTTGTGTTTTTATCTGATTCATGTAATTTGCAAGACCTGAGTACCAAGAGGATTATTATCAGGGGACATGAGAGAGATGAATTGTATTATTTAGGTGATCCACCTCCAGTTTCACCAGTTCCTCCACCTCTATCACCTGCACCTACTTTATCTTTATCTGTTCCCAGTTTGCATCCTAGTATTTTGTCTAGTACTTGTCGTTATGATTTTTCATCACAAGCTGTTCAATTGTGGCATGACCGTTTTGGACATACAAATTTTAGATATGTATATATGTTATTTCCTGCTTTAAGCAATGTTCGTGTTGGTGGTAAACTTGATTGTGTTATATGTTCCCTATCGAAACATGTTCAGACCAATTATATTCCTCGCATGCACCAGTCACCCAAGCCATTTGACCTAATACACTCTGATATTTGGGGACCCTCTCCTGTTATTGCTCTGTCAGGTGCTCGATACTATGTGACATTTATAGATGACCACACCCTTTGTACTTGGGTCTACTTTTTGCATAGGAAATTTGATGTACTCCCTGTCATCACTCAATTTCTCCAAATAACTAAGACACAATTCGATGTTATTGTTCGTGATCTTCGTTCGGATAATGCCAAAGAATATGTGTCTGATGCTTTAGTGTCTCACCTTTCTTCTCAGGGTATCCTTCAGCAGCTCACTTGTCCATATACTCCTGAGCAAAATAAAGTTGCTGAAAGAAAAAATAGGAGTCTAATAGGGATGATACATTGTATGCTTAGAGGTATAGGGGTACCAAAATCTTACTGAAATTTGGCTATTTTGACTTCTATCTTTTTGTGTAATCGTACACCGAGTCGTGTTCTTCAGCATAGGGCTCCCTTACAGGTCTTATTCCCTGAGTGGACACTTTTTCCGGTCCCCCCTCGTGTTTTTGGCTGCACATGTTTTGTTTAGGATCGATCTCCTACTCGCCATAAACTTAATGATAAAGCGATTCGTTGTGTCTTTGTGGACCATTGTCATCAGTCTAAGGGGTATAGGTGTTATGATCCTATCAGGCGTCGTATATATTACAATCTAGATGTTATCTTTCTTGAGCACATTCCTTATTTTTCTTCCATTCCTGTATCTGCCCCTCCAGTTGATGATACTCCCTTTGATTTTTCGTTACCACAAGAGCCAGAACCATTGGTCACTATCACTACAAAGTCATTATTCTCTCCTCCACCAAAGCCACTCGTCCCTGTCACTACAAAGTCACCAGTCTCTCTTCCTTTGCAGTTTATTTTCATTGCCCTCGCTCTCATCCCCCTACTGATGTCCCCTCTACCTTAGGCGATACAGGTAATACTTCTCAGTCCGTTGAGCATATTGATGCACCTGTTGTTAGTACTAATAAGATTTCAGGTACTGAGTCAGTTACTTTCCCTAATGAGACATTGTCAGTGGCGGAAGATGATTTAGGGCGTCGTTATCCGCAGCGTGATCGCCGTCTAGTTGTCCGTTATGGCTAGACCTCCAGGATTTTATATCTGATCTCTACTTATATTTCTTATGGTGATCTTTCTCTTACATTTCGAGCTTATAATATGGCCTTATCAGATACGCCGGTTCCTCGCTCTGTTTCAGAGGCTATGCGGGAGCCCCAGTGGGTTCTTGCCATACAAACGGAGATGGACGCTCTTCAGCATAATCATACATGGGATCTTGTCTCTTTACCTTCAGGGGTGAAGCCTGTTGGCTGTCGCTGAGTTTACACCTTGAAGTTTCTTGCGGATGGTACTATTGATCGTCACAAGGCTACGTTTGTGGCGAAGGACTTTACTCAGGTACCGGGTCGTGATTTTGGTGCTACCTTTACCTCCGTGGCAAAATTGACTACTGTTCGATTGATTATTTCTCTGGCTGCAGAGTATTCTTGGCCTCTTCATCGGTTGGATGTGAAGAATGCATTTCTTCACGGTGATCTGAACGAGATTATTTATATGGATGCACCACCGAACTTTTGTGGTGAGGGAGAGTATGCTGAAAAGGTATGTCGACTGCGTAAGTCTCTCTATGGACTGAAACAGTCACCACGAGCCTGGTTCTCTCGCTTTAGTGATGTAGTCGTACGTTTGGGGTTCACCAGATGTCATTCTGATCATACCTGCTTCATTCGACGGAATACTTCTGGACAGTGTGTCATCCTTTTGGTATATGTTGATGATATTATTATTACTGGAGATGATGTTTTTGGGACTGTGCAGGTCAAAATAGACCTTGGAAAGGCCTTCGATGTGAAGGGCCTTGGATTTCTGCGATACTTTCTTGGAATTAAGTTTATCCATAGCAGAACGGGTATTGTTCTTTCTCAGAGAAAGTATGTTCTGGATCTTCTCTCAGATACTGGGATGCTGGGGTGCAAACTGGCATCATCACCCATGATTCCAAACCTGAAACTTACTGCTGAAGGGGAGGAGTTGAGAGATCCGACTGTTTATCAGAGGTTGGTAGGTAGACTTATCTACCTAGCCAACACTAGGCCAGACATTTCATTTGCTGTCAGCCGAGTTAGTCAGTTTATGCACAGACCATGTCAGCCTCATCTTGATGTAGTTTATCATATCCTTCGGTACCTTAAGTCTTGTCCTGGATCTTAGACTGATTCTCTAGCCTGTTATTCAGATTCAGATTATGGGGGAGCGTGTGACGGTTGATCTACTACGGGCTTCTGTGTTTTTCGAGGGGCTCATCTTATCTCTTAGAAGAGTAAGAAGCAGTCAGTTGTCTCTCGTTCGTCAGCAGAGGCAGAGTATCGGGCATTAGCACTTTGCACATGTGAGATTATCTAGCTACGATCGATTCTTGGCGAGTTGAAATTTTCAGTGACTTCTTCATCTACATTATATTGTGATAATCGATCTACTATTCAGCTTGCTTCTGACTCTGTATTACACGAGAAGACGAAGCATATAAAGATCGATGTTCACTTTCTTCGAGAGAAGGTTAACAGTGGTATTGTCACTCCATCTTTTGTGGGAACCAGTGATCAGGTTGCAGATGTTTTCACCAAATCTGTCACTCTATCCATTTTTCGGGACTCCGTTGTCAAGCTTGACTTAGTTGACATTTTTGCGCCTAGCTTGAGGTGGAGTATTGGAGTTATAGCAGCCTAATTTATTAGACCTAGTTTATTAGGGTTATTTTTCTCTTTTTACCTTTATTATGACTTTTATATTTTGCCTAGACTATAAGGATGTTTAGGTCACCTTGTAATATTATTTGGCTATATATATGGGGCTTTACTCTTAGTTTGAATATCTCTTTCACTCACATATATCTCTTGTCATCCAAACAGCAAAAGTTCAATTACCTCAAAAATTGTTTCTTCGTCAGTCATCACTGTATATAGTGAAAAAGGTAAAAGGATGTTTTACAGTAATATTGGCAAAGCAAAATGTGCAAATAAAAGAACAGTGCAAACCATGGCCTCTATTGACTAAGTTTGGGAAGCTCCTACCAGGGATGGGCAAGTTTGAGAAGAGGAATTATTAACCCAGTCAATATTACTTACACAAGGCCAAGTTTATGGGGTATATCACTGTTTCTTTTGGTATGAGAAGGCCCATAAGTCAAACAGAACTACGTTTTTTGATAAGTTTTGGATGTGCAACTCTAATGCCGCATTGAACATTTAATGACGCGGATATCATTTCACATAATCATAATCTATAGTCAACATAACTATGTCATATTGATTCCTGTCTTCCTGCTGCTGCCTATACACATCAAAGCTCTAAAGGCATCAGAGTTCAACTTTCTAGAACGTTTACTTGTGACAGAGTTTTCCAGCTGCCCTGCCTCATCTCTATTTTCTATTTTGTCCAATCTTAAGCAATTTCAGTCCCAAGAGAGGAAGGCAAAACTAAGTCTTCCTCTGAGGCCAAGAGCAGGGATGGGAATCCTCACCCTACATCCATCCCTTTGCCAAAGCTAATCACAACATATGATGATAGAAGAAAAAACTAGTGAACTACCTGACTGAGCAATTTTGGCCTGTCTATTGTTGAAAAGGTTATCTCGTGCATAGGCCTGCATGATTTCCAATTTCGAGATAAACTGAGTGTAGTATAAATTATTGACCCAAAAAGGGAACAATTCATCATGAAAACAATTATAAGAATATCAAGTTGACAAGGACAATTATAAGAATATCAAGTCTATCAAAGCACCCTTTCTTAAAGGGTAAGTTAACCAACAAAGAAAAAAAGACATAAATGAAGTTGAAAAATGACTAGGAAAAAAAAAAGGAAAAAAAAGCAGTCCAAACCAAAACCTATGCCAAAAGTATAACACAATTAACACGTGGTTGCTGTTAACTGAGTACTTGACTGGCAGTGTAGGTAAGAAATTCTCAATCAAAAAACAGTCCTTTGCAGCTGTCAAACCTACCTGGTTCCTTCAACAAAACAGCTACAAGGTCTGCTCTTGCTAGTTGGAAGCATCGGCAGGACAAACATGCACATAAATACCAACATCCCACTTGCTTAACCCCTTTCCTCACGTCAAGAAACAACCAAATTTATTTAGGGATTAATTGGCTGGGCTGCCCATTTGAATTTCCTGCAAGAATAGTCAATATGATGCTGTTCTACTATCCTTCTCATTTTCTTAAGTTTCCTAAGCCTCTCATGTTCTAGGAGAAGTTTTTTCATAAGATAACCGGTTCATCCTAACCGGGTTTTTTTGTCTAGACTACTTTACAAATAGGGGAGGCAATTTCGATGTATCGGTCAGAATCACTAGCCATTTTGACCAATCCTCTTCCTCATATTTTCTTAAAATACCATATTTGCAGAGCACAAAACACGGTATGTTTTAAGGGAATTAGGAGATTGGTAAAGACAGAGGAAGTGAGCGAAACAAAGAGCTATGACCTAACTAACACTAAAGAATGTGGAGACCCACTAAAGCTTGACTTCCAAAACTTTCTGGCACGGTAAGAAAAAACCAATAAAGAAAAGAAAAGAAAAAGGATTAAAAAAACTACCATCATCACCTCAAGAAATAATAACACTATATGAAGGTAATCTCGTATAATTAATGGCAAAATTACTCTAATGATTTCACTTGGTTATGATACATGAATACAGCCTCATTCATTATAACAAGAGCATGTTTTCATCTTTGTGACTTTTGGAAAAAAAAAACAAATAAAATCACAAAGAATTATCTTTTGTTATAATTACAGCCTCCAAAACAAGGAAAATTCAGGAATTGACAAGTTAATATACTAAAATGCAAGGCAAACCATTCAAACCAGTAAGAGTAAAAAGTTTACTCAAAAGCTTTTTGCATAAGGTCAAGTGCAAAAGGTTTGAATAATGCTCAGTTAGTTGAAAGATTTACCGAGAAATCTGTGAAGTAGAATTCACAATGCTATCTCCATCATCAGCATGACTTCTGTTAGCTTGAAGCAAAAGGGCTTCAAGATTTGGTGATGAACCAAAGGTAGGCGGAGGATGGATTCTAAAAAGAAGGGGACCAGGGGGAGGGAATATAGAGTTAATAATGGATATAAGAAACAATTAAAAGAAAATGAAGGAAGAAGGATAGCAAAATAAAGCAGTAAATTGACATAAGCTGAGCAACACTGAATGTTAAAATCATATCAGGAACAGAGTAAGAGTCAAGAATCATACCCCTGTCGGTTATGATGACTAGAACAACTTTGAGCTTCTGCGTTCATTCCACAATCAATGAAATCAGTAGTATTTCCGTAGGAGGTAGGATGGACCTGCGCAAGATAACTTACATAAGGCAAAAGTTACATCAAACTAAAGCAGATCAAAAAAACATTTGCATATTTTCAAATCAGAATCACAATATACGTTCAATAAGTGAAAACCAAATTTCTAAACTAATAATCTGAAATTGAAGTATCTCAAGTGAAACTCACAAGGGAAAATAAACTTGAAGGTTTTACCAGACGTTTCTTTTTATCCATAACCATTTGATTCATCCCTTGACTTTAGGCACACTCAAAGCCTGTCTGCTTGAGACAGAAGGGAAAGCTATCCTTCTAATAAAATAATTGTGCATGGAATTATTAAAAAAGTTATAATAATTATCATGCGGAAAATCTACTGTCTTTATTGCAATACGAACAGATTTAACAAGTCGAGATAATAGGCATCACCAAAGTATTTTCATTTTGCAAGTGGACACTTCAAGATCTTAAGGCATGCCAACAATATAGTCTTCAAGGATCCAATTGGGCAATAGTTCAGTCCAAATAGGGCATGCTTATCCAACAGAGATTCCAGATCACTTAGAAATCTCTTAAAACCATGTACAAAAAGTCAAATGAAACTTCTTCTTCAAAACTATAAACTCGCAATTTATATTGCTCATGATTTTTTAGCATGCGGAAGCCACCAAGGAATATAATGGAGCTCTTTCAAGCATGTTCTAATACTGCAACTGATATTGCAAATCCACAAAAATCCCCTCAAAAACCAATTCAGTACCTCATGTCAGTATGTAACCATAAAGGCCATAGTGAAAAAAAAAAAAAAAGGGATCAACGGATGAACGAAAAAAGCTATTTTCACATTGTGAACTTCGCAGAGAAAATTATAGGGAGGGTGAACATAACTGACTGTAGCCTATCTAAAGTCAGTCCAAGATTAATATTAAGGCATAGTATGGGCAGTTTTCAGGAAGGCCTGAAAAATATTCAGGTCCCTGCTGGCAGGCAGTCTTCACCACAGCACATAGAAAGTTGGTAAACAAGCACCTTCCATGGGGGCAGTGATGGAAGAAGCAGACCCACCAGTAGCCCTGTAGAGCAATTTTTTGTTCAGCTGTTGACTTCTGCGTGGCCCGCTGATTCAACACCCCTTCAACTCGACTTACGTGGCTGGGATATCGTTCTCTAAATCTACAACCATACTCGTCCTGATTGTTAGGTTAGCAATATTATTGCACTCCTGATATGTGAGCCTGATTATGTACCTAATCACAAATAATAACGAGACTGCCGGAAAATTTGCTTTCAATCACCAATTCTTGCTATGTGGAGCTAGGAATAAAAAACAAATAGTGTAGCGATATCAAAAGGTAATGTGTTTTTACCTGCACAAGGCGAACATCAAAGGCAGGTCTATTAGCAGGATCTTCTGCGAGAAGCAGCAGTCTTTTATGTGTGAGAACATCCTCTGCCCTCTCCACATTCACATCTAATGCGTATCTACATATATTTACAGCCAAAAACATGAAACCCAACATTAATTTAGGCCACAGGACTAATGATGCAATTCAACCTTTGGATGAATGTAAAACAATGAACAACAATAGAACTGCAATTGAAATTGTACACACACAACACATCTATATATATATATATATATATATAGAGAGAGAGAGAGAGCGAGAGGAGGAAATCAAGAAATAAGGAATTAGACTAAGGATTGATTAATACGATAAGAAGTGG